AAAATAACTATGTCCATAAGAATAGTTACAAGATCATAAAAGTCATTTAACAAAAAGTTATTAAAGACCTAGGCTAAATAACCACTAAAAACTAGGGGGTTTTTTTGTTTGTTTGTTTTGTTAGAAATCAGCATCAATTAATAAAAATACATCACTACTATTTTTCAGTGCAAAATTATAGCTTTAAAATATCTTCAAAAACTATTCATCACCATGTAACAAAAATCTTCAGAAAAATATGAAACTAAGAAACTAAAAATCCTTCTATGAATGAAAACATAAAATCATCCTATTCTATTATAAACAACTATTCAGTTATCCAACTTGTCATAGTAAAGTCTTTCCTCATGAAAGATGAGAGTAAAAAGTACCTTGGCAGGAAATTTATCCAATTAATTACAAACAGTCTTACTGAAACATCCACGTTTTAGCTGCTGCCCTCACTTTTCTATTTTATACTAATCTAAAAATCTAGTGCCAAGCACTTAACATTTTACAGGAAATATAAATGCAACATTTAAAAAACAAAGAAAGAATATTTCTACTATTTGATATTACCATTATTTAACATATTTTTGTTATTAGCAAACAAATTTCCTCATTAATTATACCAAAAATCAATCTGATCTATTTTGAGGAGCTAAGTTCCAACACTGAGAGGTGATTAAGCCCTTGGTTTCTAGTTGTTCCCCAGAAGTGCTTCTGTCTCAGGCGACTTCACTTTCTCGACTAGAAAAATGAGGGCACTCCTTTTACGGGGCCATTGTGAACGGAACACCAAAGACACGTCTGAGGTTATTTCTGAGGCAGTGTGATTCAATAAACCATGCTAGACACTAAAACTTGAGCTCAGAAGTTCTCATCCTCTTCCTGTCACTATTTTTCCATGAGATATCAAGCAAATGATTCAAACCTTGTGGATGAACAATATTAAGCTACTTCAAGATTTTGTTTTGAGGACCAAAAGAAATGATTGCAAAGCAGTTTTTTTAAATGCACATCTGTTAATAAATAATGTGTCTTGAAGTCATCAAATTAAAGCTATTAAGTCTACAGTCTCTCAAGGAAGGATTCTCTCACCCACACACTATATTCACCATCAAATGTTCTATTTTTCCTTGAGTGTTTTTAAACCACTGCATTTTTTCTTTAACAGCTTCACTACTACTGGCAATAACAGCAGCACAGTCTCTGTGGTACATGTACAGCATACTACATACATTATCTCATTTGATCTTCATATACAATGGAAAAAACTATCCAGGTAATCTGCACCCTAAACCCAGCCCAGCTATCTATTCACTAACCAGCCTTGAACAAAATAGTCAGAGCTCCCAGGGAAGAATTTCTTTTTCTCAATGCATCTGGCCAACTTAAAGAGCAAAATGAGACACTGAGAGGTTCTAAGCCTTGCCCAGCATCAAAGGGCCAGGAGTGTCAGAGGTGGGGGCTTGTACCAGGATGCTTTCGCTCAGTGGCCAGTGCTCACAGGACATGTATGATATTTTAAGGTTTGCAAAGTCGCATATGCAATTTCACTAGAGTTCAATAATTTGATTTGGGAAATACTAATATAAAATAAAATCTCTATCATCTTTTGTTCATTCAACAAATACTGATTGCTGCTATGTGCGAGGAACTGTGGGCTAACATTACCTTCCTTAAATCACTACTCCATTTCCTGTAAACACTGGATTGTGAAGCCCTGGTCATAACACAAAATGATTTTTATACCACCAAAATTAGAATCACAGCTAGAGATTACACATATTCTGGGAAACACTGCCCCCTCGTGTCAATAAATAAAAATCAACATCTCAATGAGGAAGCCCTCAATGAAAGTGCCGGAGAAGCATGTCTTCCCAAAGAGCAAACTATGGAAAACTATTAAGTAGGGAAGGTTTCATTGTGTGTTCTGTTTAAGAACCAGTCTATCTGAATTCAGAAAGGCTTATCACAAGAAGGCTGGCCACAGCAACTCGTGAAACCACCTACTATGGTGAGGGGTTGTGTTCACACTGATGAAATCAAGGCTCCTTTAGAATTCTGAAGTGGGAAGGAATGCTAAGAACTCCCTTTGTACATCTGAAACACTCATGTCTCTCAGAAAGTATTGTCTCTGTTCTGATTTTCAATAGTTCTTACATTTGAAGTGATAACTTTTAAAGAAAACTAAAGTGGTCACAGTATACTCACACAGGCGTGACTATTAATATAGGACAAAGACAAATATGAGCATAGTTGTATGATGTTTGATTATTACTAAGATCACATCTTAAGGTGCCCAGACACTGAGTTCATACCGATACATAAAAAATTCTATTAAGCCACAATCTTTTCCACAAAGTACACACATCATGGTATCATTTTACAGGTTCTGAGGTGAAATGACACCCAAAGTCACAGTTATGCCTGAGGCACTATTCAAAATCAAGTCTTCGGATTCCAAGTACAGACCTGCCTTGTAAAAACACTCACAGAGATCAGTAAAAAGAGGGAGGCAAGTTAAATTGTGGGGAACTCCCTCCTCAGTATTTCCTTTTTATGTGCTTTTAAGAAAACAACTTTCACTGGTTTCAGCATATTCTTCTATATTCTAGAAGAGGAGACTCCCAAACACCATGACAAAGCAGAAACTGGATTTTGGTTCTATTTATAGCAAAGATAGAGAAAACACACACACACACACACACACACACACACACACACAAGTTGCCTTGTTTTGTACTTTGAAGCAATATGCTAAAAACTTCAGGAATTATTTTTAATTCAGGCACTACCAATAACAACTAACTTTTATTTAGCACTTGGATACTGTCTATAATTTCAAGATCTGGTGCACAAATAGCTAAATGTGGATTTCGAGCTGCTATGGGTTCCTTAGGGAACCTTAACCCCAAATACAGTAACTACTATCATTCTCTAACATGATGCAACTCTTATGATTCAAATACAGGGCAAGGGGAAATAATTTTTAAAACAAAACTGCCATTAGCTCCAAAGCTTTCTTTAATTTTATTTTAATTTCTTCATCCAATGCTCATTACAGGACTTGTTTTAAGGATTAAATTTAGGTACAACAGGTTGGCTTAAGCATAATGCTGGGTAAAGATATTTTTAGCATACATCTGCAGTTATTTTCAAAGGGATGAAGTCTGAAGAATTTACATCCATCTTTGCCAAGAGATTTTCACTGCACATACAGTTCTTCTAGTTCTCTTTTCTACAAAGTGAAACCCTTCAATTCCATAATAAAAATCTCAGTATTCAAAAAGAATCAATCATTCTCAACATCTGTGAGGAAAAGTCACTGATAAGGGACCATCCAACATCAGAAATGTTGTCAAAATCTGCATCACTGCTTAAGACTTTCACTTTCCAGAATGGTTTCCTAGAACGGCAAGAAAGATTCTCTTTTCTTCCCCCAAGTTCAAGATACTTCACGGAGAGCGACCACGATGCAGCAGAAAGCCTCTCTCTATCTGGAGTCAGAAAGTACAAGTTCCAATCCCAGCTCTGCTGTCATCATTTAATACCTGTTTGGCCTTGAGCAAGACCCTTAGACTTCTCTGGGGTTGAGTTTCCTCATCTCAAAAGTAAGGGGGTTGACCTATGAGGTCCCTTTCTGATTTAAACTTAGGATCCTAAGAATCTACCTGTCTAATGTCCCCAGATGCTTCAGAGGAGAGAAACCCAGGGATCAGATCAGGGAATTATTTTATACTATTTTCTTCCTCCTGAAGAAGACACGTTAAGGGAGTCTCTCTTGAGAGTCTGGCCCATAGCCCTACAAGACAGGCAAGTTGTAAATGATTCTTTCATCTTCGCCTAGAGAAATTTAAGGTGTGTGTATGCATACATGTGAGTAAGTTTATAAGAATGACTCATCTACACTACATAATAAAACTCAAATTTCTAGGTGGAAGCCAACCTCCTTCTTCCTTTCTCTTTCCCACAATTATTCCCATTTTAGTAATTACAATTTGAATCATTATTCCGATAATGTCATCAATTTAGTTAATTTGGCATTTCTTTCTAGCAATATTCAGTAACAGAATATCCAAAGTTCAACAACTCCCTGGGACTAATGGACAGATTTCTGAATTGTACATATTCACCATTTTCTTTTGAACATTCTATATAACCTTAACAGTGAGCTTTCAGATTCAATTGCTTTTAAACAGTAAGCACCTAGCACATGCAAGGTTCCTTTATCTAATGCACATACGATGCTAACCTTTAGTTTAATATTTTTATAAACAAAGTAAAACGTTACCTTAAGGATCTACAATACATCTAGATCCATATTTGCCTGCGACAATGTTTCAATTCAGTAAACAAAGAATGACTACCTACTATGTACCAAGCAACACGTAAGAGAGGTAGGGATCAAATCTTGAAAGTTGGAAGAAACCTGGTGGTCAGGCAGTCCAACTCCTACCTGAGGGACAGATTCCCTGGATAGCATCCCAGGAAAGGGTGCTGCTTATACACCTCTGGTTAAAGGAGGCTCACAACCTAACATAAGACAGTTCATCCCATTTTGCTAACTCTGTTAGGAAGCTGATGATATATATATATTTTAAAGTTACATGTGAAATTAAGTATCTACTCCTTACAAATAAGGTACTGATGACTTAGATCACCAAGGAAGCTACATCAACACTACTTCCTCCTCATGAAGATTTTAGATACTCTACTATATACAGCATCTTTTCTTATGTTCTGAACAAGTAGGATTTTTACAAATTGAAAGAAAGCTATGCAGAATGCCCACCTATAGTTATAAGAACCTTGATCGAGAGTTAAGGGGACCTTATGCGCCATATTGCCCAAATCTGCCATTTAATAGAGGAAGGAACTGAAACCAGAGAGGCTAAGTGATTTGTTCAGGGTCATACAGATAAACAGTGGCAGAGGTAGGATTTGAACTTGGGTCTTCTGACTCCAATTCAGCACTCTATGTACTGCACTATGTTGGCTCATTTAATAACACTTACTTTCGTAGGTGGTCATGTTCTTTCAGAAATAATTCAGTTCTTCTATTATTCACTCCAGAACCACTTTTATATGACCTGGCAGAGAAAGAAAAAATGTATAACTACATTTTGGCAGGCATATTGAAAAGCAGTTGAGTGTTATTACTGGTCAGAATGTAGACTACACTTTTCCCCTAAATACAACTTGCATAAAATCCGAGTGAAGCTTATAAATAATGTTATTTTTTTCAGTGGACAAATGTGTGTGAGTACATGGGCTGTCCCAAAAGTCTTAGTGCAATCTAAAGCTATGAAAGTCATAATGTGTACTAAGACTTTTGGGACACTTTGTTTTTGTGAGTGGAGGAAAGGTGTGTGTGTGTGTGTGTGTGTGTGTGTGTGTGTGTGTGTGTGTGAATTTTCTTTCAAAGAAAGAAATGCCATCTTAGTGGAATGGGCTACACTTGTGAGCAGCCTACAGTCTGATCAATATAGTAATTCACACTGGTATTGTCTAGTCAAGTGAGTAAACATACTGTTAAATGAACAATCAGTATATTAAAATTTATAACTCCCTCTTCAAAACAGCAATGAATTTTTACATAAACATGAATGTTTGCATCTAACACTCTTTGAAGGAAGTGAAAAAATATCTTCTTATGCCTTGTTTGCCTGTCCCCAAAACATTACTTTCTGTTTCTTACTACTAGCCAAACTCCTTGAAAAAACTGACTACACTCAATTCCTTTCTATTATATTTCAGATCCTTGCAATTTGACTTCTGATCCCATCATTCTACCAAAACTGCTCTCAAACATAATCAATAACCTTCAAGTCATCCATCCAAGCCAATCGCCTCTTTTCATTACTTAACCTTCTTGGCTTCTTGGCAGCTTGCCGCACTGCTGACCACCTTCTCCTGGAAACTCTCACCCTGCTCAGCTTCCAAGTTACTGCTCTCCTCCATCTCCTATGACTTCTCTTTTCACTCCTCTTCCTGATCCTTTAAAGTCTGCCCCTCAAGGTGCCGTCTGTCTTCAACACTCTCCTTTCCTTCTCCATACTCTCTCCATCATTCATTCCCACACCCCTGCTACTGCCTTGTCTCCAGCGCCAGACCCACATGCCCCACAGCACTCAACTCAGACTCAACATGTCCAAAATTTAGGTCATGTGCCCCCTAATCTGCCCCTCTCTGATTTCATTATGCCTGTCAATGGAACCAGCATTTGCCCAATCTCCCACATAAAAACCTATCATCCGCACTTTTCTCCCTCTCTTACTGTTCAGACCCAATTAGTGTCTAAGTCTTACTGGCTCTAATCTGCCATATTCCTTACTTTTGCTCCCTCTTCTCTCTCCTCCCCACCACTAGCATACCACAAGTCTTCACTGGCACCTACCTGGACTACTGCAAAAACCTTCTAACTGATCACCTCTCCTAGCTCCTGGCTCTCCTGGCTCTTCAGCCCACCCACACTGTGGCCAGGCTCCTCTTCATTATAGATCTACTCACGTCACTTCTCTGCTCAAAAGCGCTCAATGGCTCAGTGTGAACGACTAAGTGAAGTCCAAACACCTGCGCCCGGCATTCAAAACCTTCTGAGTCAACCTCGCCCGACTCTTCCAGGTTCATTTTCTATTACTTCTTACCACACACTCGATGCTGCAGCCCAAAAGGACTAGTCACCATTCTCCACCTGCACGTGCCCCACACTACCTCCCTACCTCTTCCTGTGCTGTCCTCTACACTGTATCTCTACTTAATTTCTGCCCATACTTTAAAGCTTAACTCAAATATCACTTCGTCCAGGAAGCTTTCCTTAACCCTGACTCCCAGGCTTTGGCTTGCACCTCTCATTCATCTGTCCTGCATTATTTCATGTTCTTGTCATGTCAAATTCCACTACGAGACTGCAAGTTCTCAGAGGGCAAGGCCTAGGCCCTCTTTAACCTCTGTTTATAAATGTTATTAATAGGTTCTGTACCTTTATCTCCCCCAAATGGAGGTAATAATTTATATTACCAAGCATATAGCAAAGAAAGGAGAGAAAGATAAACAGAGTCAAAGAGAGTGGCAAAGAAAATTGTACTAAGTCTCTCTGAAATTTAGTCAGAGGAATATAATACAGAAAGTACTATACTATATCTAGCTATAGGACTTCTGGCACTAACAGCCAAGCTACTGGGAAAACTGCTACAAATCTAGAGCAGGGCTGGGGGGGGGGAATATGAGGAATTTAACTGTCATAAAGTCTGCATGCTTTTCTCTCAGGGAAAGGAGTAGTACTATCCTCAGGCTCTCAGGCCCAAGTTAACAACCTATCAATGTAGTAAGTTTGTTTTCTTTTGTTTTGTTTAATTGTGCAATCTTGCTTGGCAAGCTCTCTCCCACTACTCAGTCAACAGAGGCAAAAACTGAAAGAGGACATGGCGGGAGAGGACAGAAAAGCCCAACCAGTGAAGTACAACAGAGCGGGATCATTGAGCAGCCTGGCTTCAGAAGCCCCTGTGGGCATCAGTATGTCTCAGAACCAATCTTCATAACAACCCTGCACCACCAAATAAAGGTAAATCACATGTAATCATTGCTATTTACTAAACACCTACTATCTAGGCTCCCCCCCAGATGCTGGGAAGAGAAGAAGGGGAGAGGCAATGACTAAGCCACAGCCACTGCCATGCTGCAAGCTGGAACATTCTCTGGTTTCTCTCTCTGCCCTCAAAGCATTTATTAAGCACTTACCATGTGCAAAGCATGAAAGGTAAGCCAGCCCCTGGTCTCCGGGAGCTCACATTCTAAAGGGAGAGATGATACATACAGAAGCTTCAGCTGCAAGTTGGATGAGAAAGGCTTATGGTCCTTAGAGTGCAGCCAGAAGGCAGATGGCAAGGCCGCTTTTAAAATGTCATTTCCACTGACTGAAGTCCTATCAGTTTCTGATGTTGAGCTAAATGACAGGGCCAGGGACTGTGGCAACTAGCATTTTCTTTTCAATGTTTTCAGCAGCTGCGGCTACAGCATCTGCAGAGGCAGGCGTCAGGCTACATGACCACAGGGGCTGGCTCCCAGAAGGATGCCTAAGGACGTGGGCTGGAACCATGGCTATTCTTAGGGCTCTTGGGTTTAGGGTCCCGGGCTGACTCCGTCAGGGTTGGGGGGAATGGTAGTCATGGTGGTGGTGGTGCTTTGACTTGCCTGGCCCACACTCCTGCCTCTCCCGTGGGGGCCCTGGATGTTTCAACCAAGCCAGCCAGCCTGCCCTGGGAGTGACCCTGGTGGGGAGAGCAGGCTCTTCTAGACGGCAGCTCTTCTTCCTCCCTGGTAGCTCCTTTCTTGGACAACATTTGCTTCTCCCAAATATGTGATCTTCTGTTCTAGTCTATAAACTTCTAGTTTCCTAGATGATTGGTATCTCCCTGCCTGTGACCTCACGGGTAGGAAACCAATCAGACCTAAATAAGGAGACTATTCTTCATTATAAAACACCTGAGCTGCTCTGATGGGAGAGCTGTAACAACCCTTACACTTAGCAGGTTAACTTGAAACACAGACCCAGGGCCACCAGGACCTGAAGACCAAAATGCCCAAGGCTCCCAAGCACCATCCAGTCCTGCTCTGGACTCATGCAGCCTTGGCCTCAGTGTGAGGGGGCTACCCTTATTAGAGGGACCACCAGCCCCCTGTAAGAAGGAAGGGTGGGGAGCGGCAGTACGCTGCCCAACTGTCCCTGCCCTGCTCCCTTAAGGAGTCAAGGTCAAGTCACATATCCCTTAAGACACAGAAAGGAGGCTGACTGCCTTTAACATTGAGTAGGCCATCTAATCCTTCTGAGAAGCAACTCAGTCCCCAACAGCAGGCCTGTCAGGCACTGCGGGAGGTGCTGGATACAAAGACAAGAATGAAAGCAGCCCCTGACCTCCAGCTTCCCTTCTCTTAGAGGGGAAACAACATATGTGCATAAGTCCATGCAAACAATTTCAGACAGGGGTGGGGAGAAGCACCATCAACTGGAAGAGGAAAAGCCTTGAGTGGCACTGGAGCCAAGCCTTGAGAGATGCCAGAGATTTCCAAAGATGGAGATGAGAAAGGAGAACATTCCAAGCGTAGGCACAGAGGGAACAATGTCCCGCATATAGAATGGTAAGCAGGCCAGTGTGGCTAAACACAGACTAGATGAGGGGCGGGCTGGGAAATCGGGCTGGAGAGATGGGTCTGAGCCATACTGGGAAGGCCTCTACAGGCCAAACGGGGACAACAACTGCGATGGGAATTCAAGGAAGGAAGAAACCACTTGAGGCCAGGAAAGTCCTTCAAAACTTTGTGAAAGAGCCAGGGTTGTGTTCAGCTCTGTGCACCACATTTCAGAGAGGTAAGACAGACTTTTTTCCTTTATCTGACCTGTGATTTAAACAGTGTAGGAAGCTCTCAGTAAGGAATGTCCTCTATCAATGTAGATCATCATGCACTACAGCTTATAGTCTGAAGAATTCCCAGATCATATGGCTGGTGCCTGAGGTGAGACCTGAATCCAGGTACTGCCAACTCTGAGGTGGAAAGAACAGCAAAAGCAAAGACAGAAAGGAAGGGGTATGTACAGGGAACCGCAAATCAGTCTGGGGTAGAGTGTGATCATACCACGAAGGTAACTTGGTGTAACGCAATGAATGCTGGATGAGCACATGTATCAGTGGTCAAAAGATATGAACAATTATTAACACAAACTATTAAAGATAACTTGAAAAGAGGCTCAGCCTCTAACAGATGCAAATTAAGACAACTTTGAAGAAGTCCCGTATCAAACTGGCAAAACTCAAGTCTGGAAAAGCAGGAACAGGCTGATGGGACACACCAGCTCAGAGCCTCTTTTGGAGAGGAGTCTGGCTGTACACAGACAAAGTTACAGTGAAAAAGAATGATACCCTTTGACCCAATAATTCCACTGTTAGAAATATATCCTAAAAGTTATAGCAAAAAAATCCTCTTCTACCACCAATACCACCGCTACTTTCCACAAAACCCTACAAGTTCTTATCTTAATCCATCTAAAATAACAGAGGAGTGGTCAAATAAGGAAAAAATATTTGTACTAAATCTCTCTGATAGGGGTTTTTAGAATCCAAGATATATAGCCAGCTAAGAGAAATGTGCATTTGTTAAACCAAAGGCCATTCTTTAAGAGACAAGCGGACAAAGGATAAGGACAAAGACTCCTAAAGAGCTGTAGGATGATCAACAGTGAATGCCTTGGCTCTTCTCAGCAACACGACGATTCTTGACAACTCCAAAGGATGCATGATGAAAAACGGCCTCCGGCTCCAGAGAAAGAACCGATGAACTCTGGATGTAGACTGAGCATACTACTTTTCACTTTCTTATGTTTTTTGTGGGTTTTTTGGTCTGTTTCATTTTTCAGCATGACTAATATGGAAATATGTTTTGCATGATTGCACATGTCTAATCTGCATCTAATTGCTTATCATCTCAGGGAGGGGGAAGAGAAGGGAGGGAGGGAAAAAAGAACATTAACAATTGTTTTTACATGTAATTGGGGGGAAAATATTATTTTAAAAAAATCCATAAACTATTAATGACTATGTGAAAGAATTCTTCCCATCATTGACAACAGGTTTCATCTCATACCTTACAAATTGGCAAAAACAACAAAAGACAAGAACAGTTCATGTTGGAGGAGTCTTAGAAAGACAAGCATACTAATGCTGCTAAAGCTACGAATGAGTACATTTATTACGGAAAGCAATATGGAATGATGCTAATAAGGAGGCTGACATGTACCTGTATTCTGACTGAGACCCTACCATGTGGCATAATAAACTCTGAAGAGGTCATTAATAAAAAAGCTCCACATATGCCAAAACAGTGATAGTAGCACTGTTTGAGGTAACGAAGAACTGGAAACAAAGGTAATGCCCATCACCTGGGGTATGGCTAAACAAATTGCACATGATGGAATGACTGTGATGTAAGAAACAAGGAACACAATGAATCCAAAGGAGCACAGTTCACATGAACGGATGCAGGGCAAAGAAAGCAGAACCAAGAAAATAGGCATAATGACTAGAACGGTATCCACAAAATCATCAAAATTGAGCGATGAGAAATCATAATGTTGGCCTCAAAGAAAAAAATATTAGGACATCTTCTATTCCTTTGGGGAAGGCATCTCCCATAGATGTATAACAGTATTCATAAAATCAGATTTTTTTTAGATGCATTAGGAAAAGTTTTGCCTAATTTTTTTATTCCTCTTTTTCTTAAAAAAATTCTTTGCTAGAAGTAACAGATCTCTGGGAGAGGAGAGAGGGAATACAGGGAAAATCTAGATGCCCTAAGAACAAAAGAGAAAAATAAAAATCTTTTTTTAAAAAAAGTTATCTATTCAAGGATTTTCAGGGCAACATTATATGCAACTGAAAAAACAAAACAAAAAATTCCTATAAACAATCTAACTCTTCCTTCCCTGTTGACTTGTTGGTTATTTCCACTCCTTAATATTATTCTCCAAGGTTACATCCTCTCTCTTTTCATTCTATACTCTCCACTTTAGCGATCTATTTCTACCCACAAAAGCAACCACCATTACCATACAGACAGCTCCCAAAGTTGTATCTCTTGCCCCGACCTTTCTCTTGTGCTCCACATTCACATATCCTCTACATAGATGTCCCATTGGTACCTCATATGTCTCAACATACCCCCACTAGGTATCCTCTCGAGGTCATAAAGAAGTGTCCTCAGCACACTGGGCAGACCCAGTTACGAGAGGACATGAACAAGAGTTGCACAAAACAGGCAAGCATGGGTGAGCTGGGATCATCAGAAGGGGAGCCACTCACATCAATGATATCACAGATGCATCTGGGTACTATTTCCTGTGGGGCTCAGCCCAATTCTCTGTACCCTGAGCATTCTTAATAAGCATTTGTTGAAGCTGATGCTTTTTAAATATTATAGGATAGTATAGAAGGAAGGCCAGTGAGGAGGCTATTGGAAGAGTCTCAGCAAAGTGAACAAAGGCCTGAACTGAACTAGGATGGGGAGGGGTTGGGAGTGTCAGCGAGAATGAAAGGAGACACGTGCAAATCAATTAGATTTGACAACTCAATGGATATAGGGGGTGAGGAAGCAGGGTAAGTCAAGGACAACAATCAGACTTTGAGCTAGGATGACTAGGAAAAAAATGGTAGTATTATAACAGAAACTGGGATGTCAGCAGGAGAAACAATTATTATGGCAAAGTCTGGATTCAATCTATTGCATTTGAAGGTGGGGGGATGGCCCATTACAAAGAGGGGAATGCTACGGCAGAAACTGGAAATAACCTAAATACAGAAGCAATAATTATAAAAGTACCACTTTTACAAAGATGCTCATCTAAATGTTTGATTTTCTTTTTTTTTTTTAAAAGCTTAACCTTATTATAGGGTTAACTTCAGTTACCTGGAAAATTCACTCAATGAAAACAAATTACTCTTAGAACTGTCCCCATCTTGCTCTCATGCTGTTATTCACATTGTTCCCTATGTCTTCTACATTCCCCAGATTCCTGAATTCCTCCAGTTAAGCTGCTGAGCTCCCACCTACAATCCCTTCTTTCGGCTAAGGCCTTGGCCACAACTTGGTGACAAGCCCCTTCCTCTGAACACCTGCCATACTTACTGTTTCAAATGCTCGCACATATTTACATACTTATTTATGGATACTTGGGTACATATAGGTACACACACACACACACACACACACACACACACACACCCCCTTCTACAGTGTCTTTCCAAATTAGACTTCAAGCCCCTCAAGGGTCTACCATGTTTTGATTCCCCAGAAACTAGTACAATAGAAGCATTCAAATATTTGTAGTTAATGATGATAATAACTGAGGAGTTATTATATTAGGGCTTGAAAGCTGCTGAATCAGAGCAGTTCCTAGAAATACCAGTGAGGGCAAAGGAAATGGCTTTCCAGGGTGATAATATGTACCAGTAATTAGCCTTTCATTCATTCTGCATTTCCTTTCTTTAGCTAGCCCCAGGAAAAGTGCTAAAAAAAATTCTACTTAGGTATAATTTTGCCCATTTCTCATGTGTATGTTTTTCCTATTCTAGTCCATTATTAGGAAAGAATAAAAGAAAAACAGCATTTTGGGGGACTTTGAGCTAGTACGCTGGCTAATTAACTGCTATCAAATGAATAAGCCAAAAGCAGAGAATGGGACTTTGGGCACGAGTTATGCAGAAGCAGATCCTAATCTATGGAACAATATGGCAATGTCTTCCCAATAGATCCTCTTCTATTCTACCAAATACCTACAACATACTGATCATATGAGAAGAGCTTCCTATAAGGCACTGTTTTAACTAAAATGATCAGATCTGCAGCTTATTCGAAAAGATTAGCACACATTTGTCAATGCTAGTTAAAGAAAAGATTATCAGAGGTTTTCTCTGTTCTCAGTAAGGACAGCTGCTGAAAACAGCTATCCTTATTAATACTAGGAATGGACAAGAGAAAAGGCAATAGGTAGCAATTTCTCTTAAAAGACCTACTGTTTGAAATTGTGTGACAGAAGAACAAGGCTAATGAAGGTTCCAGTCTCCTATCTGGCCATCTACCTATTCCCTGTTTAACAGCTCCTTGCTGAAAAGCATCCCCACTAATGGAATTAAGTCTCCCCTATTTATATGCTTACAGATATACTGCTACATTACCATAATGTGTACTCTACAAATACGTGGAATATAAAATTCACCTTAAGGTTCTCTTTTAATTTCTAAATTGGATTAAAGGTTGCTTGAGTTTTTATTATATAACTTCATAAAACTTGACAAATATCCATATAAATATGCATAATGACTTACTCAATATCCTTTCGTACTGATCCCATGAGGTTCTCTCTTTCCCGTATTGCCAAAAAATTTGCTTTGGTTTTATGAAATTCATGTGTGTAATCCTGTAATAGAGCAACAAAATATTCCCACATAAAACAGTTTCTGTGCCTTAATCAAAATGAATTTCTGTCAAAGAAACTATTTAAATAACCACACTGCAAAATATGCCAAAGAGCAAGAATCATCCAGTTAAGTAACACTTGCAAAATGATTCAATGTAAAAGCTTCTTTCAGAGCTCTACAAACCAGAGGACTGCACTGCTACGGTGGCCCCCAAGAGAAGGTGCAAATGTGGAGGAGCTTTGTCCTGTAAAAAATTGCTGTGATCATCATCTAATTTCAAGATAATCACAGAACTGCACAATCGCAGAGCTGGACCGGACCTCCACAGCCTTCCAGTCCATTCATATGGAAAGGAATCCAGTCAACAAGCAGTCACCCAGTTTCTGCCTGAAGAACTGCAAAGGGTAGGAAATCACTAACTGCCAAAGCAACCCATTACACTTTGGGGCTGCTGTTAGGAGCTATCAGCTATCTGTAGGAGCTAGCTGTAAGTGAACATTATGATTTTTAAAATACTATTCATTTTGAGACAAATATAACTTTAGCAACAGGTGATCAGAAGACAAACCCCAAAAATGCTTATTGTTTACATTAATAATAAAAACAAGATTTTAAGAAAAAAATTACACAGGTGAATAGTTCCTAAATCCTTCGCATTTAAAAAGTTTGATATTAATTTTAAACAAGCATAATTTTAGAAAGTAAGATTCTAGAGGCAAAAAAGGAGCAAGGGATAGGTATCACTAGACTTGCTATTCCTTTATCAGCCATACTTAATGCAGTAAGTTTTTGTTTTCCTTATAACAGGCCCAGTTATGAAGGGAAGCAACATGAAACAATTATCACTAGTCATAGTGTTGAATAACAAGCGATAAAGCTGGGGGAGGGGGCGTTACGCAAAGTTCACTAAAACTGCTAATTTTATACGATAGTAAAGACATAAGTCATTTGGGGAAAATTTAACTGACACATTTGGAATTATTCAAACAATTTTTTCTCCAAGATAAAAGAACTTTTCTTATATATTCCAACACAACTCTTGGAGAATGTACCACTTTCATCCATGTGCTCATTAGTTTAGCTAATGGGGTTTACTTTCAAATTCAGTACCTTCATGAATGGATTTCATTTCATAAGAGGAACCACCCATAGAAATTTAGTTCACATAAAATGCTTATGCAACTCAAGGAGAACAGAACCTACCACAAAACTTTAAGAAACAAAGTCACCTACTTTAAACCATTCCCCTTCATTTGTGGACTTCTTTAGATTTCAAAGTCATCTTCCTCAAAGAATTTAAATTTGTGGGTATCTTAACAGAAAAAATGCAATTTAGCTTTTTTGTACTTTCGATGAATCTTAAATAGTTTTTCCAAAAAATCTGCCAACAACAAACGAATCACCTTCCCACGTTGTTACCATCATCTTTTAAAAGCAGGAACACTGATTGTAGTCCTTTGGTGCCTGGTACTACACAAAGAAAACTATCTCACCAGTCCAATCTCTACTCATACAAAGTTTGCAATGTGTTAAATGACTAGAGCAGTCAAACTGCCTAATTAGAATTACCTCCCTCAATGGGTGCCTCATTTCGTTCAATGGATGGGATATCTGAAAAGTTGTGTGTAAACTGAATTTTTGAAAAGCGAATCACTTAAAAATCCACTACTAATAACAATGTAAAGGAAGCCTAAGATCAATGGTCTTTTATATTAAATCTTGAAGGAACCTTGAAGATCATCTAAACCCAACCAACCCACTTTAGATGAGGCTACTGAGGCCCAGAACTTACATGACTTCCATCAAGCAAACATCTATTAAGCACATACTATGGGACAGGCATTGTGCTAGATGCTAGGGATACAAAAACAATGAATGAAACAATCTTTAATTACAAGGAAATGATGTTCTAATGGGGAAGACAAGTGCACACAGAAGGAAATACAGAAGAAATCTAACGAAATTAAAGACAAATAAATACAAAACAGCTTGGCAGAGGACATCAGGAAAGGCTTCATGCCAAAGGTGGTGCTCAAGGTAGGCATATATACGCTCCAGGCATGAGGGACGGACAGTACAAAGGCACCAAGAGAGGAAACGGAGTACTGTGTTAGTAACAGAGTTTGGCTGGTCTCAGAGTGCCAAAGGTGGAAGTAATGTGTCCGGAAATGAAACACAGGCTGGGGCAGGGCTGCTAAGGACTTAATAGGGATCCACTGGAGTGGAATGGAGACAAGCAACACGGTCATACCTGTGCTTAAGAAAAACCACTTTGGTGGCAGTGGGTAGGATGGACTGAAGTAGGGAGAGACTTGAGACAAGGAGAGCCATTAGAAGGCTGCTGCAATAATCTAGGCAACAAGTGATGAGGGCATGAACTAAGACGGCAGCTGTGTGAGTGGAGAGGAGTCAATTTCAAGACATGTATAAACAGAAATGGCAGCAAGGTTTGTGAACTGATTGGATTTGGGGGTGGAGGAGAGGGAAAGCAGAAAATAGAAAATAATGCTAAAGTTATAAATCAAGGAAATGGGAAGGCAGGTACAGGGAACTATTGTATAATAAAGCTGAAAAGGTAGATGGGGGCCACGTTGTGAAGAGTTGTAAAATGCCAAACAGAGGTGTTTACATTTGATCCTTGAAGTAAGAGGGAGCCATTGGAGTTTATGTAATAAAAGAGTAACACAGTCAAACATGAACTTAAGGAAAAAATCACTTTAGCTGCTATGTGGAGGATAGACTGTAGTGGGGAAAAGCCCTGAGACAGGAGGCCCAATTAGTAGGCTCCTGAAAAAGTCCAGGAAAGGAGCGACGAGGACCTGCACAAGGGCAGTACCTGTGCACGGTGAAAGAGGTAGACAGATCTGAGAAATGCTGTAGGGAAAGAAATGGATGTACGTTGTGAGAGCAAGAAGGTGAGGAAGACACTAAGGTTGCGAACCTAGATGACCAGATTTGTCCTTACCAAGATCTACAACTACTAAATAACTCATTACTCACGTAGATCACCCCCCCCTGCACCCTCTTCACTTTCCTCCTTTTCAAATTTCTACCCTTCAGTTAATCAGTTTAAAGTACCAGTGTTCTCTCCTGCCAGCTCCCTTGCTTCCTCGTGTCCTGTCATCACTGCATCTTGCCAAACCCCACCCCAGTATTACTCCTACCATCCACACCCTCTGCCCCTAAAGTCCCATAAAAGTGTGGGTTATATCTGTCTGTTACCTAATCTCAACCCTTTTTAGCCCCTTGGTGATTCTTCATCCTACTCCCCAAAGAGACTGTTCTAAATCTTCTCTTCTCTCCACACGTCTCTACCTCCCTTTCCCCAGAACCGTATAGGGAGGAAACAAAACTTTGTATTTTACTGAGAAAATACATCACCAGCTTGCTCTTCTCCTTTTCTCTACATTTCACAGCCCCATGACATTATTCCCTATTCTTGCCTCCTTTATTCCAATATCTGATAATAAGATGGCTCTCCTCCTTGCCAAGGCCAACCTCTCTACATGCAGCCTTATTCCCATATCCTCCTGTCCCCTCTAGTGATCACTCCATCACCATTTCCCCCAACATTCAATCTCTCCCTATCTCAAGTGGTTCTTTCCCTACTGTCTACAAACATGCAGAAATCTCTTCATCATCCTAACAACCTTCACTAAACCCTATCATCATAAACCACTCTTCGCTTTCTCAGTCAAACTCCCAGAAAATGCAGTTGCTAATCATTGCCTCCAATTCCTCTGCTCTTACTCACTCCTCAATCATGGGCTTTGTTTCCAACCATATCACTTAACTGAAACTGCCTTCTCAAAGGCTAATGATGAACAAAACAGGAGCAGGGAGAGAGATAACTTAGCAACTATGGAGAGAGGAAAATCTCTTGGCCAAACAAAGAAGAGTATGCCCATTTTTATTACATAAAATTAAAAAGAAATATCAATGCAGTTAAAATCAAAAGTGAAAGAGTTAGCTGAGGAAAAAACCTTTACATCAAGTTTCTCAGAAAAAGGTCTATATTCAAGACATATAGGGATATGATTCAAATATCTAAGAATAAAAGACATTCTCTAATAGATAAATGATCAAAGGATATGAACAGCTAACATTCAAAGAAGAAATTCAAGCTATCAATTATGAAGGGAATTATGATTTATGTATTAATCGATATGATATGGGTAATAAATATACTAATAATTTAGATTTCTCAGGAGATTCTGGCTTGGGAGTCAGAGACTTACAATGCAGCTTGAAATGATCAATCAAACCTCTGACAGTGCTCTCACAATCACTGCATTCTTGTGCCAGCGTACATTAAGGGAAGCAAATCAAGATTGCAGAAACTGTTCCTGTCACAGATCTCTGGTTCTATGACCCACCAAGTAATGACCCTCAAAATTTGAAACAATCAAAGAATTGTTGTATTGTAGACTTATGGGAAACCACTCAGGCCCTGGAAAATGATTATTTGTAATCCACCTTCCCCTCCTCCTTTGCCATATAAACTGTGCTTTTACTCCAGCTTGGAGAGCATTCCTCACTCTGAAACTGATTAATTAAACCACTATTTGATTACTGGCACTCCTGTCTCTAGGCCTGCTTTGTGCAATTCGAACTATTCCCAGGTTAGAGCCTGGCTCAGTAAAATCCTGTTATCACAATCACTCATAATAAGAGAAATGCAAATTAAAACAACCATGAGATTTTACCTCACACTCATAAAGCTAGCAAAGATGACAAAAATGAAAAATGACGGACGCTGAAGGGAATATGGGGAGGACAGACACACTAATAATGTACTTATGGCAGACCTGAGAGTTGGTCCAGTTATTTGGGAAGCAATTTGGAAGAATACCCAAAAAGTCACTAACTATGTATGCCTGTGAACCCAACAATACCACTATTAGTCTCAGCACCAAAGAGATAAAAGAAAAAGGGAAAGGAGGCACAAAAATATTCAGGTCAGTGGCTGAAGGGACTGGAAACAAAGGGGGTATCCATCAATTGGGAAAAAACTGAACAAATTATAATCCATGAATGTAGTGGTTCCATTGGTAAAGAGAACTCCCTGGCAAGGAAACTCCCTTGACCAAGGTAAGTCATAACCTTTTCTGCAATTTGCAGTCTCAGGGGGTTGCTCAGAATACGGAGAGGCTAAGTGATAGGTGGTACAGACAGTGTGTGTCAGAGCTAGAACTTGAACCGAGGTGTTCTTGGCCTCTCCTCTAGTCATCACACTAGGGCTGCCCCTCACATGAATGTGAAGGAATACTACTGCATCATAAGAAACAACAAAAAGACTGAGAAAACACAGGAAGACTTTAATAAACTAATGCAGAGCCAGATGAGCAGACCAGGAGATTTTATACAATGTCAACATTGTAAAGAAAAACAACTTTGAAAGATTTAAGAATTATGATAATGCAATAATCAACTACAATGTCAAAGGAGGGACGATGAGGCACGCCAGCCCATCTCCTGACAGAGAGCTGATAGTCCAAGGAGACAAAATGAGACATGTATCTTCTGACACGGACGATGGCTGGGGGTGTTCTCATCGATTATGCTTATTTGCTACCAGGAGTGTTTTTGGGGCAGGGAGAGGTTTGGTGACAGTGAGGCTAAAAAAAGGACTATTAGGGAAGCATTTTTTAAAAAGATACAGAACAGAAAGAAGTTCAGAAGAAGACAGACAGGTAGGACACCTTTGAAGTTAACCTGCTGAATTGATTATACACTTCAAGACACATGCTATAAGCAGTAGAGTTTCATGACTTCATGAATTTCTTAATTTCTACTCTTTGTATATCAAAATGTTTGTTGGTGTTTTTTTAAGTTCAGAACAACAAGAAATCAAGTTTTTTGAGTATTTCTCTGTACTTTTGGTGATGCCCAAGAGGGATTTGTTTTTCTTCTTTTCAATCTTACAGAGCAAAAATTAAAACCCATGTCCTACCTCCCCCAATGAAGTTCACAGTAAGTGTCAAATCCCCAGTACCAACACTACTTGTGGCATCTACTTGTCAACTGACTGACTGACATTCTCAATAGGAACAGGGAAATTCACAAGTGTTAGGTATGGGGGGGAACAATAACAGGTTCTGTTTTAGACATCCTGAGTTTGCCGTGTCTATGGGACATTCAGTCTGATGTATCCAACAGGTAAGTGGCACTGCAGGCCTGAAGCTCGGGGACAGCCTAGAAATGGATCATCAGCTTAGAGATGATAACTAATCTCATGTGAGCTGATAAGGTCACCAAAAGAGTGTAGAAAGAGAATAGTTTATAGCTCAAGGAAAGAATTCTTTTCAATAGTAAGTAACTCTTTCCTAATTTATCTTTCTTCAAAAATCTAGAATTCTGTCAGATTGGCTCAAAATAAGGTGGCCTAACATACCATAAAAGGTCTCTTCTGTCTCCTGAGCATCCTTCTCCCACTGGCCACAACTCCTTGATCACAGCTGGTAAGCTAATGAAAGCACTAGGTAGGTAATTAATTCCCTAGAATTAATTAACCTAGACCTAGATTATACCTCTTATTAACTGATCCTCAGTTTCATAAGACAATTGCAATAGTCAGAGCCATTTTCAGAATGTACTTTGAAAAAAGGCATGCTGAGAAGCTGTCCTACAACAAAGTGAAAAACTCTGCTCAGAAAGTTTTCTTCTTTACAAAAAAAAAAAAAAAAAGTGAATCACTGGGCAGCTTCCCTACCCTGACTTGTTTTAAACTCTTGTGAAGAATATTTAATGGCAAAGTGTGAGGCACCAAGTTACCTGCAAGATGTCTCGGTGTCGCTGCAGCGTATGCATGAGTGCTGCATTGAGGGAAGGGACGCCAGCACTGTTGGTGTACTCCGCCATCTTGTCATTTACTCCTGTAAGCTACACAAAAGGACAGGGCATTAAACAAGGCATTTTAGAATACGTGAACAGACCCATGCCACCCAAGTCAAACCGCTTATCTGTTTGCCCTCTCTACCACATGCCACAGCACAGGAAGCAGGGGTAACACATGGGGAGAGGGAGGCAAATGGAGTTTGGTCATTGTCATCAATGTTAACACATAAAAAAAAAAGTTAACATGTCAATGAGAAATCTGGCAACAACTGCAGCAAATGTCACCTGTCTAAAGTAATATAATAAATGGCTAACTTTCTATCAGAAAAAAAGACAGCACTTACCCTTGCCAAGAGTTGTTCGATCTCCACAGCCATTGTTTCAAACATTCTGTCTTGGCTTGATCCGTTTAAAAGGGGTGTTGTGTCAGAACTAAAGCAATGTTAAATTAAAGGGAACTCATTACTTCAGGTACCAGCCAAGTTACGTAATAACAGTTTACAAGGAACTCAAGTATAATTTCTGTAATGTGCTCTTTCTTTCCTGAATTAAATTTTCTAAATCAGCTTTTTCCATAAGACTCATACCTAACTGACATCACAATACTTTAACTTCTGAACCCTGAATGAATTCAACACAAATCTATGCAAATTTTAGCCACACTCTAAAGAGATTCTCACCCATTTGTCAATAGTCGATATGTATTATAAAACCACTCAAAAGAAAAACTTAAAATTTTTACCATTTCCAAAGCTAGGAAGTAACTAAAGCCATGGCAATGTCTAGTTCAACTCTGGCTTCAAAGAAACAAAAAATTCTACACAATTAAACTGTGGAAATAAGAAGCAAATCATGTTAACTCAAGTACTCAGAAAAGTAATGTCTTATGGGTTTCTAAAGGAATAAATTATTATTACCCCAAAACAAACAGCAATAATGATCCCTTTAATGCATTTAATCTGATACATGCTCTATCCCAAAAAAGAAACAAGTGAAAGTTACAGAAAATCTGAACATAAATAGGAAATCACTTCCTTATTCCTAAAATAATTTGCAAAAGACAAATTTCCAGATTTTAAGAATGAATACAGAGTGATGGAAAGAACATAAAACCAGATATCTGGTGACCCAGGTTTTATACTGAGTTCCACCATTAGCTAGTTGTGTGACCTTAGGCAAATACTTTCCATCTCTGGGTCTCAGTTTCCTCCTTTAAAAAAAATCTCTGGGAGTGGGGGGGCGGGGGAAGCTAGGTGGCGCAATGGATAGAGCTCTGGCCTTGGTGTCAGGAGGATGTGAGTTCAAATCCATTCTCAGAAATATGACACTTACTAGCTGTGTGACTCTGGGCAAGTCATTTAACCCCGACTGCCTTACCAAAAAGAAAAAAAAAGGCCAAACAAAAAAAATCTCTAAGATCTCTTCCAATTTTAATTTTTAGGAAGGAGGGAGGGATGGGAGAGAAGAGGAAAGATCTAAACCTGTAATTTCAACAGTGTAGGGGATTTATGGTTTTGGCACAGACAATCTCTGGCAACTTTGCCCTGAATTACCCATATTAAAGGCAGGACTTCTTTAAACTTACTGTAACTGTTCCTCCTTCTTCAGACTTTCTCCCAGAAGCTATAATTAAATTATTATTTTCTGTCCATACCTTTTGCTGGGAATATACCTTCAAGGAGGTCAATGAAAAAAATAAAGGTCCCAAATACACCAAAATATTTATGGAAGCACTTTCTGTAGTAGCAAAGAAGTGGCAACAAAGGAGGTATCCACTGCCTGAGGAACGGTAAGTGAATATAATGGGATGTTACTACATGGTAAGAAACCATCAATATGATGAATACAAAGAAGCATGAGAAGTTGTATATGAACTGATGCAAAGTGAAGTAAGCAGAACTAGGAAAACAATATAAACACTGTAAATTTGCTCACAACAAAATAAATGCGAACAACAACAAAACAATCCAAACTTAATGCAGCAACATCATAATGACTAAACTTGGCTCCAAAGAAGAGTTAGGAGAAGAAAGCTCCCCCATCTCTTTGCAGAGTGGATGGGGGGCCCACAGGTATGGAACACTGCATATAATGTCAGACATTTTGGATATGTTGGTTAGTTTGGCAGAACTTTTTTTCTTATTCTTTATTGTAAGGAAGGAATGGCTCTCCAAAGAAAGAATGCTGTGAAATTATAATAACCAAGACTAGCCCCAAAAGAGAGATATCCTCGATTTGTTTGCAGAGGTGGGGCACCATCAGAATAGAACACTACATATGTTAGATTTGACCACTGTGTTAGTTTCACTCAATCTGTTTGTTTTTGGCTTGGTTTTTTAAAACTCTTGTTTCAGAAGGGATGACTCTCTGGGGAAAGTAAAGGGGAGAAACATACTAGAAAACGTGGGTAACGTACAGGGTGGGCAGCGAAAATGTGCAAATGCACAGTAGAAAACAGGAAGTGCATAAGGGGACACAAATAGAGCAATTTTATCACTAAAAGTTAAATATCATATGTAGCTTAAGAAAAACTGAACTTAACCTAAGTTTACAGTTTCTTAAACAATGTGCTTTCCTGTTCTTTGTATATTGAGATGATTAAGTTCATAATAAAAGACAATTAAAAAGATCAAAAGTAGGAGATGTAAAACCTAAAGTTTTAGTAAATTTTTAAACAGTTCGTTCTCAAGTCTACATCCTTTCCTCATGACACCTGACAAGTTACCAACAAGATGTGAAATAAACAAAGTTGATGCCAAGAGAGATGAGGGGTGGCAAGAGACTTAGAAGATTCACAAGGAGGAAGAGAGAACTGTTTTTAAGCATAAAATGTGCAAGAGGCCATTGGAGGCACGAAGACGAAGGTTTGAGCCCTGCCTCCAGTTTATACTAGCTGTGTGAATCTAGGCAAGTCGTTTAAACTCTTAATGCTACAAAGCAACTCTTCTGCATTGGCAGAAGTTCTCTACCCCAAAGAATTCACAGGTCTAGACAAAATAATTGGTCTTCCTGCCTCAAGGTTCTCATCATAGCAATCCTCCCCACCATGCCAAACATGCACCTCCACGCCCACCAGTCAATAAAGTCCAGGGGCTCCTCAGGATCAAATCTAAAACTATGTTTGCCATTTAAAGCCCTTCATGACTTGGCCCTTTCCTTCCTTTCCAGTCTTCTCACGCTTGACTCCCCTCCATGCAGAGACCCTGGCTTCCTGGCTGTTCCTTACTCTGCCCTTTCTCATTGGCCCCCAGGCTTCCTTCAAGGGTTGGCTCAAATCCTACTTTCTGCAGGAAGCTGTAGCTCTTAGAACCTTCCTCCAAATGCTGCACCCCCCCCCGGCCCCCCCCCCCCGCCCCATGTATAGCTCATAGCTTCTCCCTAATTCCTAATTTACATGGTGTGTCCCAATACTACAAGAGCTCCTTGAAGGCTGGGACTGTGTTTACCTTTCTTCATATCCCTAGAGCTCAGCACAGTGCCATGGAGCCCTAAGATGTAGAAAAAAGCAGCAAACTATGAGGATTAGAGAACTGCCAATAGCCACTGACAGGTACCATTACTCAGTAGGGCACACAGGCCTCAAAAAAGGCAACAAAGAACCAACCTATACACCATAGATGTGCCAAGAGCCCCACAGCTTAAGATGCCAGCCAACATGGAAAGATATTCCTGGAGGGGAAAAAAAAAAGCCATTCCAAATTTTGTCACGGTAGCAGTATTCAGGGACAGCCTTCAATATGGGCAGCGAACAAATGTTTCAGACTGGACTTCCAATCTGGACCAAAGCCTTGGCTTTTAAAAAAAAATCATTTTCTGCTAACTCTACAAAGTAATTTGCATTTTGTTTTCAATCTTTATATAAGGATGCTTTCAAGGCAATTACTCCTGAGTAGTTACACTGAAATTTTACTATATGTCCCAAATGTCTTGAGAGAATTAATCATTTTAAAGCTCGCAAAAACTTAAATAAAGCACTATGGCAGAGTATCAGCTGATAATTAAGAGAGAAAAGAATTTTACATGTAGCCCCGCAGAGTCAATATAAGAACTGATTCAGGGATACCTTATTTCCTGGCACAAATATAGCTCCCTATTAGAAAGGAAGATATCACAGTCTTTTCACTATGTCCATTCTGGTTAAGTGCCCATGAAGACACAGAGCAGTGAGCCTCAGTGAGGTCTACAGTATGCTGTTACTTTAGGACCCCTCACATTATTACTTCAGAACTGCTATCTATATCAGAATATTCCAAATAACTCTATTTACTGGTTCCGTGAAAAAGATAGTCTTAGCTGAAACAGTGTCTCAGAGGGTCCATTAATTTCATGGAACAATTGATTAAGTGACCAAATGATGTTACAGTAGGGATTTCTTCATATTACTGAACCTTAAATGCACTTATTCTGACATATAATCCATCCCAATAAAGAAACTAGTTAAAGGACAACAAATCTGAGCATTATTAGAAATTCACTTTCCAAAAGTACACATGACTGTCATATTTCTAATAACTGTACAAGAAACAAATTTCTGAGTTTGGTTATGTTTTAACAATAATGCAAAAGAATGCTGCTTGCAGCGTGCCAATATGACCTATAGACACTTACTAAAAATGAATACTTAGGCCATAGAGGCAAAATGAAGCACTGGCTAAAATGTCTGAAAAACACTTTTAACACCCAAACCAAACAGGTGCTCAGTCAAAAAGGGGATAGCGAGGTTCTTCTTCCAACAGCTCAGTCACAGAAAAGTTCCAGTATTCCAACAAAGAGGACAACAGCGTGTCAGGCCAGCTCTAAGACAGCACAAAGGCACCTTTTCTCTGGCTACCCAGGGAGAAGGAGGAGATGGTTCCCAGAAGGTAGAGGGCTTCGGCTCAGGATGGTGGGAGGAGGACAGCTGGCAACAGAGAGACAGCAGAGTTGTCCAACTCCTTTTCTGTTTTCTCTGCAAAGAAGAATGACTTTTACCCCAGAAATGACTGAGCTAGAGTTGATGTTGAATACAAGTAAGGAGATGATGAGAAAACACTCGGCTACCCTTGAATCCAAGTCACTGGGCCTGTCCCTTCAGGACCCACATTTGAGGGTACAGCTGAGTTAAAGTCAGTGACATGTGAAAGATCGTGGAAAGCAAGAGAGGTCCCACAAAATTTGAGAAGGGCAAATGTCCCAATTTTCAAAAAAAGGATGAGTACAAAGCCTGAAAACTCTAGGCCATTCCTGATAAAATTCCAGATCACTTCATTAAAGTTGTTGCTTATCTTTCATTCTGGAGGTGATGCCATGACTTGAAAATGAACTGGATTTGAGTGAGGGAGGGTGCAAAGTCACCAGCCTCATTTTCTCCTCCAGAGCCATCTGGGCTCAGTGGCCATATATAGAGCAGGACGATTGGAGATGGGCCTGGCACCATTATAGAGATGGTTGGAGAAGAGCTACAAAAGAAAGCCCCGGGGATGACAGAGCCAACGTGGTTCCATCAAGGGCAGGTCAGGCCAGATTTAAGTTCATTTCCTTTTCTGATAGGACTGCTAAACTATAGTGAGGGAAATCGATGGTTAGCATTCACTTAGCTTTTTAGCAAAGCTTTTAATAAAGCATCTCATGTTGTTCTTGTTGAGAAGATAGGAATGAGTGGACTAGATGATAAGAAGTTTAGATGGATCCACAACTGGTTAAATGACAAGACTCAAAGAAAAGTTGTAAATGGTTAGGACAGCTCCAGGGATCTGCACTCAGCCTCATGCTATTAATCATTTTTATTCATGACCTGGACAGAAGCATAAAATGCCTTTAGCCACAGCACTGAATGGACAATGGCTCATCAAATCTGGAGATGATGCATAACTGGGAGGGAGAGCTAGCCTAATGGATGCCAGGGGCAAGGTCCAAACAGAACTTGAGAAACACTGGACTGAACATAAGACGAAATTCAACAAGGATAAATGGAAAATTCTGGCACTTGAGCACATAAAAAAAAATCAACTACTCAAGTGTAAGATGGAGGATATGTGGAAAGAGCAGTTATTCTGAAAAAGATCTGAGGGCTTCAGTGGACTGAAAGTCTGATAAGAGTCAGCAGTGTGAGGCTGACTTCAGAAAAACCTGGAAAGACTTGTGTGGTCTGATGCTGAGTGAAGTGAGCAGAACCAAGAGAACGTCATACACAAGAACAGCCACATTGTGAGATGACTAATATTGATAAACTTAACCCTTCCTGGCAATACAAGTATCTTAGACATCTCCAGGGGCCTTGTGACGGAAAATGCTATCCACATCCAAAGAAAGAACCACGAAAGCCGAATTGTTACTTTTTTTCTCTTCTGTTGAGTTTTGTTTCCTCTTTCTGATGGTTCCTCCTATTGGTTTTAATTACTACTTACAACATCACTAATGTGAAAATATGTTTAATATGAATGTAAATGTATAGCCAATATCAGATTATGAGCCGTCTTGGGGAGGGTGGTGGGGAGGAAGGGGGAGAAAAATTTTAAACTCAAAAGCATATGGAAGTGATTATTGATAAATCAAAATAAACTAATTTAAAAAAAGAGAAAAAAAAAGAAAAAATTGGATGTTGGCAACATCAAAAAAAAAAAAAAAAAAAAAAAAAAAAAAGAGTCAGCAGTGTGATGGGGCAGCCCCCAAAGCTAGTGAGACTTTGGCTGCATGATGAAGAGGATGGCTTCCAGGAAAAGGGAGAGTCCTACTAGACAGACTTCATTAGGTTTCTCCTGGAGTACCATATTCAGTTCTGGACGCTACATTTTAAGAAGCAAAGTGATAAGCTAGGCAGTGCCCAGAGGAGAGCAGTAAGGGCTGTGAAAAGTTTTGTGAGTAATTATCACCAGAAGGCCAGTTGAAAGAACTGGGCATGTTTAGCCCAGAGCATGAAAGACCCAGGGTGTACAGGACAGCTGTCTTCAGTATTTGAAGGGCTGTCATATAGGAGGGAAGAGAGCTGTCCACTTTGACCCCAGAAGGTAGAACCAGATGCAATGGGTGGAAGTCATGAAGAGGCAAATTTAGGTTTGATGCCAGGAAGAACCCCTTAAAAAGCGGAGCTGTCCCCAAGCGGATAGGCCGTGTTAGCAGGTAGAGGGTTCCCTCAAAGGAGGGCTCCAAGCAGAGGTTGGACAACCACTTGTCAGGCATGTTATAGTGGGGATCGCCTTCTTCTATGGGGTGGACAGATGGTCACAGAGGTCCCTTACTACCTGTCTGAAAACTCTGTGATTTCTAAGTCTACGGAAAGAGCACTTTGAATAAGGATAGAGCTTTCCTAAAAAATGGAAAATTCAGAAGACTAATGCTGACAACTGTCCCCGACCTCTTAGCAAGGAGCAGTAGACTAAGGGCAAGGAATAAGGAATGTATTTTCAAACATGGCCAATGTATTGATTTGGTTCCCTTAATTATACTTATTTATTACAGAGGATGGCTCTATCAGGGCAGAGGACAGAAGGGTTATTCAAGGGAAATTACAAAGATGTTAAAAAATATATCAGTAAAACATTTCTAAGGGAAAAAGAAAGGAAATCTACAGACTAAACTGACACATAGCCTTATTTTGCCTTAAGTAGGAATTCCATCTTTCACTTAAATTCCACTCTTTTTTTTAAGGCAATTGGGGTTAAGTGACTTGCCCAGGGTCACACAGCTACTAAGTGTCAAGTGTTTGGTCTGAGGCCAGATTTGAACTCAGGTCCTCCTGACTTCAGGGCCAGTGCTCTATCCACTGTGCCATCTAGCTGCCCCCCAAATTCCACACTCTTAAACACTGGCATTTCTCTACCTACACTGTCACAAGCCCTGTACACAGATCTTCCATAATGCAAAACCTTTGAGGATTCAAAGAAATGCTTTTAATGAATTACTAAAAAGAAAATAAATTCAAGAAGGATGGACTGAATATGAACAAATAAAATCTAAACTGTAAAGAAGTAAATATTTTGTTTTGTTTAAAGTAAAAACTTAAACTATATTAAACAATGTTAAGGCAAAAGAGAGATTTTGGTAGTACCTATACCTGTCGCGTCTTCCATCTCGGGCACTACTGTGACTATAACTTGTGCACAGTTTACTGAAGGAAACCAGTTTCAGATCAAGTTCATTTTCAAGCTGTCGGGCCTGTTTCCGGAGATCTTTAACAGAATTTGAAAAGCAAATAATTAATAATGGAGGGTTATTAGTAAAAGTGCAAAATGATATGACTAAAATATTTGGTTTTTTGGAGAACTGAAACTTTGAGTATATGTTCAAACTATAAAAACATATGACTGGAATAGTCATTCTTTTCCCCAGTTAGATGGTGCAATGGATAGAGCACTTGCCCTGGAGTCAAAAAGACTTGAATTCAAATCTGGCCTTGACATGTACTAGTTGTGTGACCCTGAGCAAGTCACATATCCTTTGTCTACCTCAGTTTCCTCAACTGTAAAACAGGAATTATAAGAACACCTACCTTCCTAGAGTTATTATAAGGATCAAATGTAAAGCACTAAGCACAATTCCTAGCACATAGTACATGCTTAAAAATGCTTGTGTCCTTCATTTCTTCAAAAAAAAAAAAATTCAAAGGAAGGAACTAAGATAATAAAATCAATATTTTTTTAATTTAAAATGTGATTAAGGAAACAATGGCCTAATTGGTCCACATTTTAGGCAACTGCTAAATTAGTCCTCTTCTATGGTCACTTTATCCTGTATACTTGAGTTTAAGCAGACCCTGTCACTTATAATTAGCATCTCTAACATTAATTTCAAAAGGACTTGAGTCTCTACCATACAATTTAGCAAATACTGCTCTTATAATACTCATTTTTTAATAAGCTTTAGGTTTTTTTCCCCAAATAGACTGTAGGTCCCTTGAGAGGAGGAAACTTGTGCCCCAAATAGCTTCTAGCACATAACAGGCATGTAATAAATCCTTGTAGATCAATGTATCCAGCAAATCCTTATTAAGAAATATTCTAAACATCCATAATTATAGTGAATAAAGTTTATAACCAATTAATCAAATATTTTAAAACACCTGTTTTATGCCAGGTACTGTAAAAAAAATATCTTAAATTATATGTACAAAAAAAAACAAAGTAAAATATATCTGCACACTTGGCAAATACTCCACAATTCATTTACAAAAATTTATTTGTACTTAAAAATTTAAGTGGTTTTGCAAATACATCTAAAAACACCAAAGGTGGATAGAGCACTGGCCCTGAAGTCAGGAGAACCTGAGTTCAAATCCAGCCTCAGACCAAACACTTGACACTTATTAGCTGTGTGACCCTGGGCAAGTCACTTAGCCCCAATTGCCTTAAAAAACAAACAAAAAAACACCAAAGCTCAAAGTTTCTATTCTGAAAAGTCAGTCAGTCAGTAAATATTTATTAAATACCTACTATGTGTCAGGAATTGTGCTGTTGGTGTTGGGTATACAAAGATAGGCAAAAGACAATCCCTACTCTCAATGAGCTCACAAGTCTAATGGGAGAGTTAACATGCTAACAATTATGTACATACATGCTATATACAGGACAACTTGGAGATCATTTCAGAGGGAAATACCATTGAAGGGTAAAATGCAGAGATAGAAAATGGAGCAGCTTGTTCAAGGAACAGCAAAGGAGGCCAGTGTCACTGAACTGCAGGGTCACAGTGGGGTGTAAGGTGTAAGAAAACTGGAAAGCTTTTGGTCAGGTTATAAAGGGTTTTGAATACCAAATGAGGATTCTATCTTTGATCCTGCAAGTGACAGAGAGTCACTGGACTTTACAGAGTAGGGGGAATGGCACAGACCTGCACTTTAGGAAGATCACATTGACAGCTGAGTATGGATAGAACAACCAGCAAGCTACTGCAGGAGTCCAGGAGTGAGAGGATGAGGCCCTGCACCAGGGTGGTGACAGTGTCAGCTGAGAGAAGGGAGTGTATAGAGAGAGAGAGATTACAAAGATCCAACCAAAAGGCCTTTTAACGTAAACGGACTAGATGGCAGGGATGGTGGGAAAGAAAGTGAGTAGGTTATAAGCTTGGATGACTGGAGGGATTGCTGGTACCCTTGACTGCAACAGGGAAGTTAGGAAGAGGAAAGGGTTTGGGGGGGGCGGGGAGACAGTGAGTTCAATTTTGGACATGTTGAGTTTAAGATGGCTAAAGAACATCTTATTGAAGATGATTAATAGGTAGTTAGAGATCTGAGACTGAAGGTCAGCAGAAAGATATGGGCTAGATAGAGATGACTGAATCCATGGGAGCCAATGAGATCAGAAGGCAGTATAGTAAAGAGAGAGAAGAAAAGGACCAGGATAGAGCCCTCTGGGACACCCATGGTTAGCAGGCTGGAGCTGGATCCAGCAAGAGGAGAGGTCAGATGGGTAGGAGGACCAGGAGAGAAAAGGAGATGAACTATTCCAAGTTTTAAGTTATTAGAATTTAAGTAGTTCAAAAACTTGAAATCTCAGTAGGTCAAAGCAGCTCTGACATACTACTACAATAACCTAAACAGCAAAACTCTTTTAGAATAAAGTCATGCCTCTAATTGCCTTTGACAGAACAACTGAGCCACTGCTCTTACAAAATGATTATCCCTCCAAATAGAAGCAATGCATACAGCAGTTAACTTCAGCATCAGACCTACACCTGAGACAAATCTTAACATGAAATCCAGCTACATTTAATCATCAATCTAAAGCCAACCTCACAGAGAAAACGATGGTTTTACTAATAGAGGAAACACCCTCTTCCAATGCATATCAGCACTGTTGCTGCAATTGAAGAGAATTACCTCAAGTGCTGAGAGGCTGTGACTTAGTGCTGACCTAGGTCTTCCTGGCTCCAAGACCATGTATGACACACTATTTCTCACGCTCTTTCATAAGACCTTGCTTTCGTGCCAAGGAGGAAGAGTGATGGAGGAATAAGTCCCACTTCTGTTGTGTATCTTAAGTCCTGCTAGACTATGTTGAGCTGATCCTTACAACCTGCAGAACACTAGGTGTCTGAACAAACCAAAAGAAACCAAAGAATGACGTCTGGGGTACAGAGTTGAAAGAAAAAGGTGCCCAGAGGAACACAAGATCTGTGATAATGGCTCTTCCACTCAGAATCCCACTATAGCCAATGCTTTGCACCTGAGAACACTCCAACAAGATCGCCTCAGTCTGACAAGCATGATACTGTTTTCAGCAAAAGATTAAGAAATAAAGTCTTTGATTTGAGAAGGTATGTGTCATAATCCTTTCTCAAGTCCAAAACCAACACAAAGGCACCTTCTTTACTTAATCAGTGACTTGTTGACTGAACTGTTTTTGCTTTTTTAAAAACGACAATGCTAATTTGTGGAGATAGAAATTATACCTTAAGAGTGTATTTAGTAGAAGCAATTTTTGGAGGAGGCTGAAACTTTCTTCCCCTAAATGCTCTGATGAAATTGGGTATAGTTATACCACACAACGCATTACATTAAAAAATGTGAGATCTGTTGAGGAATATATATGCACAAAGAAAGAAGAAAACAAGGAGCGAAATAAGAGAAATCTACAGGTTTTCTCTGAATAAATGAATGAATGAGTAAAACAAGCTCCTGGAAACTCTCTACATAGGCCTTCTGCTTCTCATCGTTGTTTAGAAAGTGAACATATAGAAGGGTCAAAATTAAAAAGAGAAACAATGCCTAAAGACTCATATTTCAGTAAATTCTAACGTGTTAGTAATATATGAATTATCCCCAATGGCCAAAGCAATAGCACAACGCAGCAAAAATTTTAAAAAAGATCGCCTCATAACTGACACTAAAAACACACATCAGTTAAAAGTGCTTCTTCACTAGCACAGTCTTCAAAAAGGCACTTTGATGCGTGTTCTAAAGTAGCTTTTTTTTCTAAGTAGCTTTTTAAAAAACACTTCATTAAAGCTTAAGAAGTTGCTGTTTCTTGATAGAAAACATTGAGTATAAGGCTCTGCAAATCCTTCTTGAATCAGATTTCATGAAGATGGCCAAAAAAAGTATTCTATTATCTATAAAAATGATGATAAAAATGAGAGGCAGCAGGGCCCAATGGGAAGAGTGCCAGCTCGGAGTCAAAAAGACCTATTTACATCATCAGCTGGCCATGTCCTCAGAACGGCCCCTTCAGGTGGGTATTACTGGTATCATAACCCCTTTTTTTTTTATTTTACCTGTTTGAGGGTTTAATGAGAATTGGGGCGGGAAGCTGATGGAAAAATATGGGGTGGTCATATATAGTGGGCAAGAGACAACAGGCTGACAGTCTGAGCACTACTGTATTGAGTATGTATTATCCAGATGTCAGGGAAAGCATGGAAATACCCTGGAACATTGCACAGACCCCCCCTCTCCTCTGTGGAGAACTCGAGGGGCGATATGGACCGGAATCGCTGACTGACCTGAACCCGGATCTTCGTGACTCCAAGACCGTGTCCCTCTGCCTCTCAGGCAGCAGCGCTGTACAGGGGAAAGAGCACTGGATTTGGAGCCAGAGGCCCTCAGTTCCAATCCGGCCTCTGTCGTTTACTCCCTGTGTGACCTTGGGAAGCCATACTATGGATCTCAGTTTCAAAAATCACAGAACTAAAGCAGGGGTTCTTCACTTTTTTTGGATTCTCAGAATCATAATTTTGAAAAAATGCATAAAAAAATTATAGGGTTACAAAGGAAGCCAATTATACTGAAATACAATTAAGAAAATATTTCTAAAGAAACAAGCTTACTGAGCCTAAGTTAAGAGACCCTGATCATAAGCCATAATGGACCTAAGAAGCCTCCTAGTTCAACCCCCTCACTTTGCAGTTGAAAAACTAAGTCCCTTCCAGTTTTAAATCCATGAAAATTAATTTTCCAGACAAAAAGGCCGATACTGGGGTGAAAAATATGCTTACATCCACGCATTTCCCATAGATTCAGTGAAGAGCAACAGAAAAAACGAAGAGATAAAGGAAACCCAGAGCACAGACTCTTCATCAAAGAGTCAGGCAGACAAATGAATGAGTAAAAGAAAGGTTTAATGATCACTCAGTAGGACTAGGTTCCAAGCACTGTGCAGGAAAACAGATACAAAGGCCCCAGTTTTTGTGTGTGTGTGTCAGTCTTTAAAGGCTTTAAAATCAATGACTTGAGTCAGTGGCCCTGGATTCCAATTTTACCTCTGATGAGTTTTACCTTTTAGGCAAGCCACTTATCCCCTCCCCTAGCCCCGAACCTCAGTTTCCTCATTTGCTAAATGAAAGGGCTGGCTGGCATGGCCTCTGGGATCACTTCCAGCTCTAGATCTAAGAGCCAAAGTGACTTAGTCCTTCTGGGCCTCAGTTTCCTTATCTGTAAAAAGGAGGGGGGTTGAGTCCCCAGATGGCATCTGAGGGCCCTTCCAACTCTATATACATGGGATACTATGATACTACACTACAATAAGCTGTGATTTATTCTACCTGTGAGATTTAAAATAAAATTTTCTCAAAAAAAGATAACGAGTGTAGGGAGAGGGTAAGAAAGTCAGAAAACAGTCTTCACTGACTTTTGGATGGAAGAAAGGTGGAAAGGGAGGAAGGAAGGGAGGAATTAGGGAAGAGGGAGAGATGAAGGAAGAGAGGGAAAAAGGAAGGGAGGGAGGAAATAAGGGATGAAGGAAGGAAAAAGTCAGAAAGAAGTGAGAGAAGGAAGGGAAGAAGAGAGGGAAGAAAAGAGGAAGGGAAGAAAGGAGGGAGGAAGGAGGAAGGGATGAGGAAGGAAGGAAGGGAGGAAGGAAGGAAAGAGAAAGGGAGGGAGGGAGGAAGGGAGGGAGGGAGAGGGGAAGGGAGGAAGGAGAAAGGGAAGGAGGAAGGAAGGAGGGAGAGAGGAAGGGAGGGAGGAAGGAGGAAGGGAGGGAGGAGCGAGGTAGGAAGGAGGAAGGAAAGGAGGAAGGAAGGAGGGAGAGAGGAGGAAGGACGGAAGCGCAGCAAGCTCGGTAGCAGCCCCGTCCGCCTCGCCCCCAGGCCCCCCCAGCTTCCCGGTGCCCCCCCCCGGCCCGCCCCCCCAGCTCCAGACCGAGGCCTCTTCCCCGCCCTCCCAGCGAGCCGCATCCTCGCCCCGGAGCCCAGCCCCTCCGGGCCGCCCGCTCTTCTCACGGCCGCCCCACCCTCCTCTCCTCCTCTGAGGGTCCACTGGCTCCCCGGCCCCGGTCCTCACTCTCTCACCTTCCCAGTAGTTGCTGGTTCCTGCCGCCATCTCTGTTGTCCAACGTCAGCCGCGACCGAGGAGCACTGGAGAGGAAGAGGGCCAGAGCGTCGCTTCCGCCCCACCGCCCTCAGCGGCTCAGCCCCGCGGGCCCGCGCCGGGGCCGATGGGATAGGTAAGCCTCCGAAGGCACCGCCACCTAGCGGTGGGGTTATCCGCATCCTGTGAACAGGGACAGCCCTTTGGACTGTACTTTGCACTTTGGACCCAGGGAAGCCTCGAGCTGTGTGTCCCAGCCCCGACCCACACCCCCCTCCCCCTGCCGTTCCCCACATCTTTTCTTTCCCCAGAGCCTCAGGTCCCTTGCTGCAAATCTAGGAGGGCTGGGAATGGAGTCAGGAGGCCCTGGTTTTGACTCCTTCCTTAATAGCTGTGTGGCCCTGGGCAGGTCACTTTATCAGTACCTCAGTTTCCTCATCTGTAAAAGGAGGCAGTTAGACTTGACGGCCATCCAGCTCTAAATCGCTGATCTTATGAAAGCTGGCTTCAGAGCCAAGGAGACCAACCCAGCCTGATACTTGCTAGCTGTGTGACCCTAGGCAGGTCACCTCTGGTCAGCACTCCATGTGACTAGGACCATAAATTACAGAAAATATGCTCTCTGCCTTGGTAGAGGCCCTTCCTCTCCAGGATCCTCCTGCATCGATGAAATCACAGTCCGTTCCCTATCTCCTGTTCCTATGTTATGTTCTCAGGCTGAATGAAAGATCTGTGACTTCCTTTGCAAAATCTGTCAAGTCTTGGGAGTTGTGTGAAGTTCCTAGCCGTGAAATGATTACCCAAAATTGTGTAGCTAGTAAATAGCTAGTAGTAGGGTGGGCTTAACGACCCTAAGGTCCCTTCCAGCTCTTAGTCCATGATCCCACATCCTAAGTGTCCAAGGCAGGGATGTGAGCTAACCCCAACCCATTCTTCTTTCTACTTTGATACTTCAACATACACGAGTAATGGGTATAATCAAGGAATCCTTCCCCACCCCCCCATAAGCACATGTTGACATCCCCTTGAACATCCTGGTCTCCAAGTTCATCAACCACTTAAATTCCCAAGACCTTCATCTTCCCTCTACCTCCACCATATGCAATGGTCATACCCTGGCTCTAACTAACTCTTAACTGTTGACACATAGTAGGCGTTTAGTAAATGTTTATTGAATGTTGCAGAACTCTGAAATTCTCCTTGACCACAACTTAACCACAAATCTCTCTCCTTCCGTCTTGTTCTTCTTTGTCTTCATGGCCAGCCTCCCGTCCCTTTACGTCCTCCCTGTTCTTCCCATATCTCACCCCCCTGCTCTCTTCATCATTTTCTCCTTTCAGTGTTAACCCAATGATTAGCCAGTCCAACCACACCCTATCAGCATGAATTTTGTCCCCGTCCTATCATTACCTCCCTCACCTGTCTTCATCACTTTTACTCCTCTATGTTTGAGCCATTCATGTTGGCTAGTTCACTACAAATGTATCTTATATAATATCTAATATCTAATTGGGCCCTCACTGCTGCATGAGCATCATTTTATTCTTCCCTGATTGACTATTACTCTCCCTCCTCTTCTAAACCTTCTTTTCTCCCCTCTAACCTCCTTCATCATCTGTTTCCCCATCCCTGTCAGCAAAGGACCTTGGCTCCCACCTTACAAAGTGTGTGTTTGAAGGAGAGGGCACCCCATATAGCAAGCTTAGAGATGAAACAAGCTCCTTTGGGTCACTTCCCTTGGGTCAGCCACATGTGCTGAATCAGTGCTTAAAGGACTTGACACTTTGGTATGATTCACTGGTCCCTCGGGCCACATGACCATGGCAAAAGGTCACAAAACTAGGAAGAGCCACCCACTTAGAATCTAAAAGGAGAGACGACTTTTACTCTTGTTCTCTTCTTTCTGTTACTAGAATATGTGGTGTGGAATACTATCCTTCCATCTTCCTGTCTCCCTCTCCTCCCACCCTCTTTCCTCTCAGCAAAACTAATCCATTGCCCATATCCTCTACTCTATGCAGTGTTTATAGCCATAGTCCCCCACATCTTTAAAGAGAGAGGGCACATTCTCAGATCTCTTTTGGGGGCTTTGCTTGATCATTCCATGGCATCAATGTCTGTATTATCACCCCTTCAGATCTATACCCTTAGCTTACTTGTCCATGAGTATCTTACACCCTCTGACAGTCAGTAGTTTGTGTGGCCTTCAGAAATCCCCAACTCAGAAGTACCACCTTTGATTTGCCTCCAGCTCTGCCCGCCATTATGGCTTCAAGGCCCCTAACGATAGACTTCACTTCTACTTAACCTCTTTCACAGACTGCTACTATCATGTTATTTAAGCCAATCTAACTTCTCTCAACAGAGAACCATCTTCTGTATCCCTTTTCACATAAAACTCTGGTTACTTCCATGCCATGTATGCTAACCTACCCACTTCCCAACAGTCTGCCCCTTCTATACTGCCTTCCTTAAGTGAATACATGGAGACTCAATGAGCTTCAGACATAGGACAGTGAATGAAAAGATCCCAAGGTGGCACCCCTACCTCTCTAAACAATATGCTCTGTATCGACGATGACTCCACAAATTAGAAATGAGGCATCTACATTCAAAAAAAAAAAAGTAATCCCAAGCAAATGGTCATGGAGACTTCACCACGGCACACAAGTGAGCTCAAGGCCAGCACAACTCTGGTAGGCCCCTAACAAGGTGCCAGTCCAGGCCCAGAGATGGACTGCATGTGTCATTCAAGAACTAGCTAATGTAAATGAATGAAGAGGGTAGGCTGGCCAGCAGGTGACAAATTCTTTTGGCCACAACTTACCAATGGCATGGAGGGATTGAGGCTGGCGCGTGGGAAGGCCACACAGATTAATTTCGGAACACTTCCAACATTAAAATAAGCCAAGAATGGCCTATTTGAAATACGCGCTAGATGTGATAATTTGTTGTCATTCAATTTTTTTCTATCACATCCAACTCTTCGTGACCCCATTCGGGGTTTTCTTGGCAAAGACACTGGAGTGGTCTGCCATTTCCTTCTCCAGCCCATTTGGCAGATGAGGAAACTGAGGCAAATGGGGTTGTGGCTAGTCCAGGGTCACACAACTGGTACATGTCTGAGGCTGGATTTGAACTCAGGAAAATGAGTTTTCTTGATTTCAGGCCCTGTACTATATCCAGTGCACCACATAGCTGCCCCAGACATGAATAATAGCAGGTAATTACAGCTTATATGGTATTTAAAGCACCCCTTTCTCCCTTGACCTTCCCTTCCGTTCCCAAGGTAATGCTGCCATGGAACTTGACAACCTGAACCTCTAGATCTAAAAGGGATAAATGATGGAAACCTACAGCATGCTTTATAAGGGCCTGACAAAAAGGTCATACGCACACACATGTATCCTCTACTTAAGGAATGGAGATCTGAACTTAGTAGTCAGAGGTGGAAGGGACCTTAGGGCCAGCTACCCCCATCCCCTCATTTTTCAGGTGAGGAAACCAAGGACAAGGCAGGTGAAGTGACTTGGCCAAAGGCATAGGCAATGTCAGAGGTGGGGTTTGAGCCCAGACCCTCTGACTTCAGAGCCAGTCAGACTCTGACTCTGCTGCTCCAGTGTGGCCTGGGGCAAGTGACTTCACTTTTCTAGGCCTCAGTTTGCTCATCTCTATGATGGGAAGGTTGGAGGAGATACTCTCTAATGTCTCTTGCAGCAATTAAACCTATTAGTAAAGACAAGTTCTCAAGAATGCAACCAGCAAGATCATGAAAAGCATGAAAAAAAAAATCAAGACAAATTGGACATGAACATTGTGTGTGACAGAGGGAAGGAGAAAGAGAGAAGACAGGGAAGGGGAGAGGGAGAGAGGATAGAAAGGGAGAGAAAGAAGACAGGGAGGGAAAGAGAGAGGGTGAGAAAGAAGACAGGGAGGGAAGGAGAGGGAGAGGGGAGAGGGGAGAGAGGGAGGAGAGAGAAAGGAGAGAAGGGGAGAAAAGACAGGGAGGTAAGGGGAGGGGGGGGGAGAGAGAGATCGAGATCTATCCCTTACCCCAGATGCAAGCCCCACTAACTCAGGCTGCTGCACTCACAAGGCAGGTAGACTTGCTGCTTCAGTAAAATCAGTGTTGTGTATTTCAGAAAAGAACCTTGCCAGTGCTTTAAAATATGACTGTTCTTTTGTAGTCATGGTTCTAGTTGTGTTTTTTTTGGGGGGGGGGGGGATGGTGGTGGCAGGGAGTGGACCGGACCTGTGATTTCACTGACATCCCCCAAGAGGAAACTCCTCAATGCATGTCTACACCTGCTCCACAATTTAGGGTCTTAGTGATCTGACTGGGGCTCTGAGAGTTTAAGTGAGCTGCCCAGGGTCAAGGACCTGCTTGTGTGTCAGAGGCAGGATTTAAACCCACATCTTCCTGACCTCCAGTCAACCCCCTCTCCAGCCATACCACCTCTTTCATAATTACTGATCTTTGTTTTTTTCTTGTTGAGAGGATGATGAGACAAAACACAGAAAAAGACAGACATCATAAAATAACCTTTATGCAGGATTATTAGATCTGTTTACATGTTTAAAAAAAAAGAAAGGACCTCGTTAACAGATTTAGATTTCACATAAATTACAGATTGGCTCTTTAAAAAAAATACTATCATTCAGTTCCACATCAAGTCCTTTTGAATTTTTTTTTTCTTTCTGAAGGCACAGTGCATGTTATACGCCCAAGCCTGAAGTGGTTGAGATGAGTGTGGATCTGCTGGGCACCCTGGTAGAAACAGCTACAATAAAAAGTTTGTTCCACAGAAACCAAGCATAGCATCATTCTGGGAAAATGGAGCGTGTGGGGATTTGAATTTGAAGCCGAGGAGAAAACAATACATTCAGGCCAATGACCCAGAAGGACTTTTGGGTGACCAAGAGGGAAGATAAGATGGCGCACTTGCCTCATGCTGCTGACTTGAAGTGTCAATCACACATATTTACATCATAATTGGAACCCAATTGCCTCTAAATGTCTAGCAAGCTTCAAACTCTATTTCTGCCACGATGGGAAATGGCCAAGCCA